GCGGGGGAGCGCCCGGACCGGAGCAGGGGGAGCGGGGGAGCGGAGACCCTCTCGGGGAGCGCGTGTCTTGCGTGGGTTGTCCGCGACTCGGTCCTTCAGGGCAGACTTCGTTAGCAGAGAAACGCAGGGACTTCGGGGCTTGGTGTGCTGAGAGCAGCGTCTGACCCCGCCTCGGGAGAATGGCGGCAGCTCCACTTAGGCGACCTCAAAATGTAGTTTTGGGAACAGCAAAAACATTCTTATCCGACTGTGTGATGCTGTGTGAGAATAGACCCACTCTAGGTAATGCTCTCTCAGGGTAGAGCAGTGGTGCTGCGTGGTTATGTGTCATGCGTTTTCTTGGGTTACTTCTTTGAAAATAATTAGTTTTTTTGAGCATCAAAGTCCCTTTTCTTGTTTGGTCCTTTTTTTTTTTTTTTCCGGAGAAACTCCAATTTTAGCAAACAAACATGGTTTACGTCAGCTTTTTAAATCGAAGGACAGACAAGGAGTAGATACTCATGCATCTGTTTTGTGAGGATGTAAGCTGTAGTTTGTGCATTAGGTCTGTTCTGGCATTTTAACGTGTTTCTTTGGTAACAGACCAGGTTTGCACGGAACATTGGTTTGAGCCTGTTCTCCCTAGTTATGCCTGATCATACACGTTTGTTTTTGCATTGTCTGGTACAATAGCACCTTTTCGTGTTTGTGACTCTCGAGGTTGTGAGTGGCTTAGTCCTCTTGTCCTTTGGAGCGGAGCAGAGCTCTGCGTCGGGAGAATTCCTGTCCAGTCGGTGTTTATGGCACTACTTTCATTTGTAGACTTGGCGGTCCTGATTTGAACCAGATGCTTTCTGAGTTCTTTCGCCTTTGCAGCGGTGGGAAGCACTAGGTGGCGGTATGAGTTAGCACAACCAATCTGTCACCTTTGGAAACTTGAGCAGAATTCAAATCGTGATGCGCTTTCCCTGGAGGGTTTTGGATTCTGCCAGTTCACATTATACTACTTGGCACCAGGTATTAGCATTAGTTTCTCACTTTCAAAGGCCCTAAGACTGATTAAACCCTCAAAGCAACTAATAGAAAACAAAACTCTGCAGGCCAAGACTTTTGGCCAGAAAACCCCACCTAAGTAAGATTATAGTGTATTGTAGGAAATCTGTTACGCGAACATCAAATTTGAAAGGGTACTGCGAAGTATTTTTCTAAAGCTGGCCATAAACCAGGTGATTTAAAGTCTCTATGTAGCTTTCTTGTTGTGATCTATAAAAAGTCAGTTTGTATATATTAGGTAAAACTAAAAAGTGACTTTTTTAAATGAAGAGACTATCACTGCAAAGTGAAAGAATTTAAGATAGGCTATATCTTGAAATTCTTGGAGTTTTTCTTTATTTCAGGTTATGCACTAATATTTTGGTTTTGGAAGGGTCTCAATCTTTTAGACGGGTAATTTTGAATATTTAGAACTAAGTTGGTGTGTCTTCATTTTTCCTTTCTCTGTTCTTAATCAGAATTGTTTGAGGAGAAGAGATGCTGGTTTGTTGAATCAGTTGCAAGAACTGGACAAGCAGATCAGTGACCTGAGACTGGATGTAGAAAAGACGTCTGAAGAGCGCCTGGAGACTGACAGCCGGCCCAGCTCGGGTGAGAGCAGGGGATTGGTGCTCATGGGTCGCTCCCGTGGTTAGCATTTCCAGACCTGCAGAAGGCAATGGCTTTGTAATGCAGAGAGAATTTTGAAAAGCAGTCTGCTCTTCATTTGCATGAAGTAAAGTCGGACAACAAAATTTGTAATAGATTCATCAGACTGGAGTCCCCTGGGTTTATAAGAAATAAAAGTTTCTCTTGAGACTTCTGGGAGAGCAGTCTTCCTTTGAAACTTGAGAAAGTCAGAACCGGGCTAGAAAATTAGTCACACTTCAACTTCCTGAGACCACTTCAAAAGTTTTTTTTTTTTTTTTTTCTTTTCTAAACCATTTGGCTCTTTAGATTTGTTTTTCTCTTAAAGTTATAAACATTCATAATAAAGGTGAGGCTCTTTTAGGTCTAAGTTCCTTTCTTGTACATAATTTAAAGGTGGGAAGAAGGTCAGTTTAAACGTGAGAATAACTTCAAAGTTGCTCATAGTTATGTGCTCTTTGCCTGTTCATAAAGATTTTTTGATGTAAAACCATAAAATCAGGACTCTAAAATTCAGTGAAACAAGATTTGTCTCCAAAAGCCCCCAACAAAATCGCCTACCTGGAAAGTTGACCCATCTTCTTTTTAAGCATGAATGTGTATTATTCCTTGACATGATCTTAATTCTAGCTGTCTTTATTTGTAGGGTTTTATGAACTGAGTGATGGAGCTTCAGGATCCCTGTCCAATTCCTCTAACTCGGTGTTCAGTGAGTGCTTATCCAGTTGTCATTCCAGCACCTGCTTTTGCAGCCCCCTGGAGGCAGCTTTGACTGTCTCAGATGGTTGCCCCAAAGCTGCAGGTAAGAATTTTTAGCATTTACAGAAATGTACATTGGGATGGGTCAAGGGCTCTTAAAGTTTCCTACTTTCAATGCCTTTTACTGATGGAAAATAAAGTTTGTTGGAACTGCAGTTGGTGCTGTAGAACCCACAGTTTGATGTAAGTGGATATCCAGAATGAATCCAATGCCTTTGGGTGTGGTTTGGCTTTATGTTCTGATAGCAGCAAGACAATTCAACCTTAGAAATAATGTCTCAATAATTATAGGTCTTGAACTCCATTTCTGAGCCTTTGCTGTTAGTTTAACTTTCTGGTGTTGGAGTTTGTAGAGTTTTGTACTAATAAGCACACTAAGAATATATTCTACTATTGAGCTATAATCCCCACTACTAAGCAACACTGACTGTCTTGATTTTCTTTTGAAAACCTTTGTGAAACTGTTTTCCTCTTACTTTTCTAGTGTTTAAAGCTACCATACCCAGTAAGTTAAAATATATCCATCAGTGTCCCTTCCATATTTCCCAGAGTATGCTACGTGATAGGATCCTTCTAGTCCCTATGCCATAATTCACCATTTGGAGCAGTGAACTCAGGGAGAATAATGATATTGTTAATGCGAGAATTTCTGCATTTTAGTTATGTGTCATATAATGCTAGGTCCTCTGCATGTATTTATCTCCTTTCAATTCTTCCAGTACTGCAGTGTGCAGGTATAAGCCCTATTTTATGTCTCCGAAAAGTGAGGCTAAGTAAGGTCATTTAGGTCTATGTAGCTGCAGAGTAGCAAAAGCATGCTTTAAGCTCCTGTGTTGTACCTGTAAGGAAGGTCCATGTTTTTTTGCCACCACAAGGAAATTCAGAAATTGTGAATTCAACCATCTCATATAATAGACAAGGGATTTTGGTTTACAAATGTTTGTTAGAAGCTTATCTGCTAAATGGCAGTTATTACCGAAATTCTGGACTCCTTCATTAGTCCTGTTATACTGTGATTGCTTGGAAAAGCAGAGGAAGTGTAGAGATTAGAGCTCTTGTAGGTGTAGGCACAAGTCAACATACCCATGGTTTGTCTGTATTTTCACTTAGGTTTAAAGCTGAATTTTTTGATCCAGGTAAGGCCAGTGTGACACTGAACAGCCGAGGTTGCCAGTTGGTGTCTGTGTTTGTACAATATGTGTTGTTAGTGGCGATCATTTGGAGAAGAAGAACTTTGTTATCCAATGTGTCTGCGCTTCAAGTTCATTGGTAATTGCACCCCTGAAGATCTGGTTTCAAAGGGAAAATTTATAAACCCATTAAAAAGCACTTTGGTACAGGTTTTCCTTGAAGATAGACCCCTTGTTCTCCCAAATGCCACATCTTCACATAATTGAGACAGTTGGGCTGGGCCCTGGAATCTGGCCTGTTTTGTTCAACTATAAATAGGGAAAAGGGGTAAATGCCTGGTAAAGTGTAGATAAAGGCAGCTTTATGTAAGGCAAAGACAGGAGTTTGGTGGTTGGAGAGTAGGGGTGGGACAGGATTTAACTAGACAGGTTTCTTTGTTTTAGAACAAGCTGATGGTTGGGGGTTGAATAGGTGGAGACATGGCATTTTGGTATTATTAGGCTTTTTAAAAACTGTCTTTGGGTCCAGAGTATTTTTGCCCAAGACTGGTAATTACTGAACTTCGGACAGTTTCCCTTAAACAACTGACATAAAACCTGGCACAGAGGGTTCTCAATTCTTGAACGAATAAACATAATTATGGAGGACAAATTAGTGATCAACTGAATTTTTATTTTCTCTGGTGAATGAAGGTCATTATAAGGGTTTGATATTTGTATCACTAAGAGATCAAAATAATTTAAGAAAGTTTCATTTTATTTTGGCACCTACAGTTTTTGTGTGTGTCTGAGACAGGGTTTCACTATGCAGTTCAAACTGGCCTTGAATTCACTATGTAGCCCACATCATGTTGAACTCACAGTGATCCTCCTGCCTCAGCCTCCTGAGTGCTGGGATTACAGGAGTGTGCCACCACATCCAGCCTGGCACCTGCATTTTTTACATGTGAAATTTATCCATTAATACTACTACTCAACTTAGAAAATCTTATCAAGAATTCTTTATATTAAAATACTTATTTTTTAGTGTAGTCATGGAAAATATACTGTAATTATTTAAACTTTATTAGTCTTATTGAAATTTGATGTTTCCCTGAGCTTTCAATTGACAAGTTATATTCAAACATATGTCATTAGGAATCAGGATCAAAAATGAGGTTCACAGAATGTAATGTTTATCCACAGTATTTTAGAAGGAAACCAGAGGGGAGAGTAGACAAGAGAATGACTCACTTTTTCCCTTTGGCATACCCTCTTTCTAACCGTGCATTTGTTTTAATAAAAACCGGCCAAAGTCAAGCTGGTGCTAACTCATTTCTTCAGCGTGTACCTTGGCATGTTTTACACATCTCGTAGGATGGGGGAATATAAAAAAGGCTGCTCTGAAGATCAAGCCTCAGGGGCATCTGCTGTTCCCCTTCCACACTACAATTTAATTCCCTTGATCTCGTTGCAGATGTGAACCCCAAGTACCAGTGTGATCTGGTTTCTAAAAATGGGAGTGATGTCTATCGCTATCCCAGCCCCCTGCATGCGGTGGCTGTGCAGAGCCCCATGTTCCTCCTTTGTCTGGCGGGCACTCCTCTCAAGGAGGAGGAGCGGCTAGAGAACCAGGCCAGTGACCTTTGCGTTGGATCCGAACTAGACGCCACCAAAACAGATGATTCCTTACCATCACCGAACAGTCTGTGGCCTGCTTCCCATCCTTCATCCAGTAAGAAAATGGATGGCTACATTCTGAGCCTGGTCCAGAAAAAAACGCATCCTGTAAGGACCAACAAACCCAGAACCAGTGTGAATGTGGACCCCACGAAAGGACTTCTGAGGAATGGGAGCGTGTGTGTCAGGGCCGCTGGTGGCAGTGGCTCCCAGGTCAGCAGCATAAACCTGAAGAATTCGAAGCTGGTGTGTTTGCCCTCTGGCGGAATGCCCTCTCTGGACAGCGTGACCTTCTCCCCCCTGAAGCAGCGGTCAAAGGAATCCAAGGCAGAACTGGAAGGCAAGAGGCTGCTAGTCTCTGAGGGCTGCTTAGCAGGCGCTGCCTTGGAGCTCCCAAGCAAGCATCTCCCCAAAAATGCCAAGGCAGCCTCCCAGGAACAGGCTTGGTGTTCTGCCGCCACGGGGGCAGGAGAGTCCCTTAAAGAAAGTGGTCAGACCTCAGCTGCCTCTCAGAAGGAGAGCCCAGGCCGGGGCCCCGGGCTCCCACAGGAGCACAAAGGAGTGCAGCCCCTGAAAAAGACGGCTCAGAAAAGCACCCTGCAGCCTGCCCTGCCTCCCGCGCCTCCCCTGCTGTCTGCAGCCTTCGCCGCCGTGGAGGAGAGACCGGCCTTGGACTTCAAAAGCGAGGGCTCTTCGCAAAGCCTCGAGGAGGGGCACCTGGTCAAAGCGCAGTTCATCCCGGGGCAGCAGCCGGGAGCCAGGCTCCACCGAGGCCAGCGGAACGCAGGCGGCGCGAGGAGCTCCACTCTGCGGCCCCGCGGCCAGGCCCTGCAGGGGCTGGAGACTGGCCTGCCCACGGTCAGGGAGAAAACCCGGGCGGCTGGCAAGAAGTGCCGCTTCCCCGACGACCTGGATACAAATAAGAAACTCAAGAGAGCCTCTTGCAGGGGCCGCAAGGGCGGAGGCGGGGCCCCCGAGGGTCTTCACAGCAGGCCCTTGAGCAGCGGTGGCCATCGGGCCGGAAGCAAGGCGCACGGCCACGGACGCGAGGCGGTGGTGGCCAAACCTAAGCACAAACGAACCGACTACCGGCGGTGGAAGTCCTCGGCGGAGATCTCCTACGAAGAGGCCCTGCGGAGGACCCGGCGGGGTCGCCGCGAGCACGGGGGTGTGTACCCCGTGCCCGTGCCTCTGCCCTACGCCAGTCCCTACGCCTACGCCGCCAGCGACTCGGAGTACTCCGCCGAGTGCGAGTCCCTCTTCCACTCCACCGTGGTGGACACCAGCGAGGATGAGCAGAGCAACTACACCACCAACTGCTTCGGCGACAGCGAGTCCAGCGTGAGCGAGGGCGAGTTCGTGGGCGAGAGCACCACCACCAGCGACTCGGAAGAGAGCGGGGGCCTGATTTGGTCCCAGTTTGTCCAGACTCTCCCAATTCAGACGGTCGCGACGCCGAACCCCACAAAAACCTTTGTCAAAATTAAGGCTTCGCACACCCTGAAAAAGAAAATCCTCCGCTTTCGGTCTGGCTCTTTAAAGCTGATGACGACAGTTTGAGTACCATTGGTGTGTGGTGTCTTTCTCCGTAGTTTATGAAAAAAAAGGGAAAAAGAGTGGTGTCTTAGTTTTTGTGTAACACTTTCATGAAATGCTTTTATTAAGATAAAACCAAGGTAAATTATGTCTCCTCTCTATGTATAGACACTAGTGCCTTTAATGGAAGGTAAAGGATGTATTGCTAGTTAGAAGTAAATACTGAGATTGTAATGGTGATAGTAAATGAATTTTGTGCTCTCCGCTGATTTTTATTTTAAATTTTCAGCATATCTGGTAAGGTACAGGTTTCGACCTTTAAATACGACTGGGGTGAGACATTTTGCTCCCAAGGTCAGGTGAGTGGAATTTTTAGGACATTTGTCCCTTGATTCTTCAGGGTAGTGCCTCTGCAAGGGCTTCCTGTGGAACAGCATTGCATATAGTTGTGGGAAGTAGGCCCGAGAGGTAGTCGTTTTCTGTGTCTTTTTATACTGTAGTCTGCGTTTCTCATATCTTCCTCAGAACTGTTCCGTTTACTGCACTCAGAACTTCTGGACCAGATCCTAAATCCAGAGATGGCAATCTGGATAAGGGCACTGGTATTACCTTCAAAGGAGTCACAAAACTTTTGCCACACTTGGTGCCTGGGCCCTGGTTACAGTAGCCTTTTCTTGGGCCATATATCCAGCATTTTGATGCCTTTGTATCCTTGTCTGATTTGTAGCAAATACAGTAATTGGAGGACTTGCCTTTGGGATAACATGTTGGTACTTTAGTACAGAGACATTCACTCTACATGAAGTAACTTTCGGGCATGATTCCAAGTCCAGAATTGCTCGCTGAGCACTGTGCAGCCTAAGCATTGGCCTGAGCAGTAGTGCAATCCAGTCCAGATTGGACCGCTGACCTTATCTGGAAGGGCTTTAAAAAGTTTTTTTGGTGAACAGTATTGTGTAAAATTGCTCTCTTTATATCAATATATGCATGTTTTGTGCATGAGTAGTATTTGTTTTGATATTCCTGTTGTTAAATTACTGTATGATATAAGTGGTATGTGTTTTTATATATATCATTGTGTAAATTTAATATAACATTATATACTGTAATAAACAATTTGTTTTACTGCTGTTGTGTTTGTTATTTGGGTATAAGAGCAGATGTTTATACCTTGTTCTGATTACTGGTGGTATTTGTGAGATTTATAGTAGAGCCAACGTTAGAGTATTATTTGTAATTATTAAGACAAATTTTGGTGGTCTTGGAATGGATAGTGAGTAAGCCAGTTTGGAAAAGCAAGCCACTTTCTTAGAGTGGTAAGTTATATTAAAATTGAAGGTAAACTTTATAGCTGTTTCTTAAGGAAAGCATTTCTAAGAAAAATCTCCAGCTTTTTATTATGAAACGTTTAAAAACATGGATTTGTTGAAATGATGGTACAATAAATGTATAGCCACTGTTTAGATTCAACAGTTATTAACATGTTGCCTTAACTGTGTATATTAGACTAAACCATACTGCTGTTTTGTAGGTTAAAGAAAGATGCAGTCCTCTTTCTTCCACACGCTTCTGCAGTGTTTTAAATTTCAGGCATAACATTATACCTCTCAAAGCTGAAGCATGCATTTCCCAAGAGTAAGAAGGTTCTCTAACACCACAATATACTGATCACACCTAAGGAAAATTAGTAATTCATAATACCAAATACTTATTTTTCTTTCTTTTTGGTACTGGGAATTGAACTCAGGACCTTGCATTTGCAAGGCAGGCACTTGGGCCACTGAGTTATATCCCTGGCCTCAATTTTTCCAGTAACAAGAATTTTTGTTGTTGATTGAACCCGGGGCTTCTCACATGCTAGGCAAGCATTCTGCCATTAAGCTATCGTCCAGGTCTTTTTAAAAAGTTTGAGATAGAATCTCCCAAAGTTACCCAGGCTGGCCTCAAACTTAACAGTTCTCCTGCTCAGCCTCCTGGATAGCTGGGGTTACAGATGTGTGCAACTTTACCCGCTAGTTTTAAGCATTATTAAATAGCTTCCCATCTTTCCCGACCCCCAACCAGTATTCAGTCAGTCACTGCAGTTCATCAGGCTGTGGGTGTCTAGTCTTCGTAGTCTAGAATACTCTTTCCCCAGTAAAAAAAATGGTGCTGGCTTTTTTTAATCGAGAAAGTTGCCTGATGGGGACCACTTTCTGGCTTTGGTTTTTTATATTGTGTTTTAACATCTTTTATCCCCTTCATTTCCTGTAAGCAATGTGAAGCTTGATTGTATTCAGGTTAACGTTCCTGGCAAGATTTCACTAGGATTGTTGAATGCTTTTGTTTCACATGGAGAACTGTATCAGTTTGCCCCACTGTTACTGAATTTGAGCGATCCTTTGGTTGAGCTGGTGAACATAGATGTCTCTGGTATAAAAGTATGTTTTCTTTGCAAATGGCTTGTGTTAATGGGAGCTCCTTCAGTACTTTTGGATATAATTTCCCTCAAATTCCACGTAATGGCTTTAGTTTACATTGTTGATCCTTGTCTGAATCAGTTACTCCTTTGAGGATGGAGAATGATAATTTTCTAAGTATCGTTCTATTTTTTTCGCTGACGTAGAAAAAAGCTTTCTTTGTGCATTATTTGCTATTGTACAATTACTTATGTCTTTGTTCTTTTCGATGCTTGGCACTTCGCAAATGTGGCCAGTGGGATGATAAATTTTATTAAAGGGACATAATAGAATGATCTAATTCCCATAATACAAATACTTGTGACATGTATTCAATTAAATTTTCAGATGATGTCAGGTGCTAAATTTTAATGCAGCAAAAATCCTTTATCTGTTTCTTTATTCTGTGTTGAAAGTATAATTTTCTCCAGTACTTTATATACCTCATCTCTAGCAAGGCTTTCATTCTTGGAAGTTATTGCTTCATGGCTTATAAAGGCCACATCTCTTAGCAAGACATCTTTTTGTAAGAGAGTTCAGGGAACTTCAAAATGCTGTAGAGTTGCTAGTCTTACTATTCATATATTTTTCTACGCAACTAGTAATTTCTTTGATTACCTGACTAAATCAGCCTAGCACAAGGGCTGGGATGATCTCATTTCTAATGCCGAGATCCAGTCTCTTTGAAGCATGGCTATAAAGTTTATTGTGTAAGACAACTGTGACCTGCAGTCAGTTCTTGAATTATTTCCAAGTTCTCAATGAGCATTATTCTCGGAAGTGGACGCTGAAAACCACCTTTCGAGCAATTACCTTTTAGGTGACAATGCCAAACTAACAGAAGCATGAAAAACAGGATTTTCAAGGAACTCTGGTTTTATCCTTCTAGTCCATTGCTTGACTTCCCTGTAGCTAGCAGTTGTACTGCACTTGGAAAAATGGGGTTTTGTTCATTATTTTCAATGACAGAATAGCTGCTATTGTTGTTATAAACAAATGGCCTCTTTAAAATATTTTCCTTTGTTCTTAAAAATTACAAATGCTTATTGTCAAAAGAAAAGAATACAACCAGACAATACCCCAAATACTCCTGTAATCCTCAAATCCGATTCTTCAGTAAGTTTGGTGTATATATTTATCCATGCTCTATTATATGAACATGGAAGTATCCTTTGCACTTCTTTAAAAGGAAATCTCAAATTATATGTTTTCAGCAAATTGTGTCGTTCATTTCATGGATCTGTTTGGCAAATATTCCTAATTTTAAAAATGGGGTCCTAAGTATTTGCTGAGGAAAAGCAGCATGTTTTGTGCATGTGCAGATTTCATAGGCTGAGTTTGTCCTGCTTGAAAAAATTCTCATAACTACAAAGTGTTATCCAAGTGTTACACATATTTGCACACATACTGTCTAGTTTTATGTATTTTATTATTTTGTGTTGTGAGCTCACTTTCAGTGAGGTATTACTGAAGGTCTTCTGTGGGACTTTCCATACAAAGAAATTTTGTATTTTTTTCCTGCCAAGTGCCTCAGGGATAGTTCCAGGCTGGACCACTTTTTAAATTAATTTATCTACTTAGGGGTTCCCTGACTACAGGTATAAATTCAAATTCTAAATCTATGTGAGGATAGGCAGTAGCTGTGTTCTCAGAGGAGACCTTTCTTAAGGCAATCTCCTTTAGTTTCGCCCTGGGTAAGCAAGTGAAACACTCTCCCCCACTCCCCCCAGCCTTTCATTATACGGGTGTAGTCCTTCAGTGCTCAAAGGAATATGGAAAAGCCTCCGTTCCAACTCCTATCCTCTGAGGGCCAAGTTCTAATCCCTGAATGACTGTAAAAACTAAAACCCACAGTTTATGGAAACAGCAACCTCCCCTATTTTGCACAACTTCAATGAGGTAAAATTAAAGTATAATAAAATGCACATATTTTAAGAATAGAATTGGCCAAGCATGGTGGTGCACACCTGTAATCCCAGCACTCGGGAGGCTGAGGCAGGAGGATCATTGTGAGTTCGCGGTAGCCTGGGCTACATAGTTCAAGGCCAGCCTAAACTACACAGCGAGACCCTATCTTAAAAAAAAAAAAAAGAATTTGATCAGTTTTGATGTATGTTTTGACTTTGCGTAACCAATACAATCAATATAAAAATATTTCCATAACTCTCAGTAGTTTCTTTGAAATGCTTTGCAATCCCTTCTTCTATACTGTTCACCAGGCAACTAATGATGTTTCTGTCACCGTAGATTACATTTCCCAGATTTCTATATAAATGAAATTAGTGTGTGCTCCTTTTTGCCTAAATTTTCTGCTTATAATGTTTAGATCTACCCATGTTTCACGCTTCAATAGTTTATTCCTTTATATTGTTAAGTTGTGTTCTTTTTTCTGGATATACAATCTGTCTGCTTGTTGATAGATATTTGGGTTATTTCCAGTTTAGGGCTATTACAAATAAAGCTACAGTGAATATTCGCATGCAGGTCTTTTTGTGGCCAACTGTCTTTGTTTCTCTTGGGTAAATACTTAGGACTGAAATACCCAGGTCTTATCAAAGTAGTATTTTTAACTTTTTTAAGGAACTGCAAAAATATTCCCAACTGATTGCACCACTTTACAGTACTACCAGCAGCGTATGAAGGTTTTGGTTGTCAGAACTCAATGTGCTCAGTCTCTTAGGCCAGTCTGACCAATGCACAGTGACATTTCCTTGAGGACTAATGACATCGAGCGTTTTTCCATGTACTTACTGGCCACCTGTTTTGTTTTTTGTTGGAAATTTCTATTGAGATACTTTGTTCATTTAGAAAATTAGATTGGTTTCTTATTAAATTATGAAAGTTCATTATAAATTTTCTGAAGACATACTGTGATAAATTGTGAATGTTTTTTTCCAGTCTGTGGTTTGCATTTTCATTTCTTAGTGGTGCATTATAAAGAGCAGCATTTTAAATTTTGTTCAGATCCCCATTTTCTGTTTTTCCTTTTGTTTGTGACTGTGGTGCTCTATCTAGGAAATCTTTCACCAATCCAGTGTTGCAAAGATTTCATCCTATCCTTTGTCCTAAAAGTATTATGGCTTTTGGTTTACATACGTGTCAATTACCTATTTTGAGTTAATTCTTGTGTATGATGTGAGGTGAAGGCAGAGGTCCAGTATGTCCAAACAACCAGTTGGATAGGACTGTTTGTTGAAAGGACTTTCTCTTCTACATTGGCATCTTGTCAGAAAAGTCACCATACTCTCTGTATAAGGGTCTATTTCTGTGTCCTAATACGTTTACCTAGATGTTTATTTTTTCCCACTGATACCAAACCTTGATTTCTGTATTAATTGTTGAAGTCATTTCCTCCAAATCGGCTCTTTTCTTTTGCCTTTCCCTTATTCTTCATAACGCCTTTGATTATTCTAGGCCCTTTGTATTCCCGTATAAATTTTAGAATTTGGTGGTAAATTTCTGCCAGAAAAAACCCAGCCTGTTAAAATTTTTACCACTGTCCTATGGAGTAGAGTTCACTGTAAGGATATTGTTATCTTACAGTAATGTGTCTTTAAATCCTGAAGTATGCTGTATTTTTCCATTTATTTAGGTCATCTTCAATTTTTTTTAGTAATATTTTGTAGTTGTTTGATGTGAAGGTTTTAATGTCTTTTGATGGATTTATTCCTATGTATTTTATGATTTTTTG